TCTATTAAAATCAACAAAACCAAAAAAAAAAAAAAATATATATATATATATATAAAATATCGTAAAATGGTAGTATTTATTACTTCCTGTCTCTTATACACATCTATAAAGGTTAATAAGACAATCTTAAAGATTGTCAATATCATTTTTTTTTTTTTTTTTTGAAAAACATCCTAAACGTATTGAGGTTGCCACAAAAACAATGGTTTATGAGCATTATTAGTAGTTATTATAAATGAATTATTTTTTATGCAAAATTTGTTATGTGAAAATATATTCTGTACATAATTTTTAAAATTGCCAGAAGTTAGCCCAACTAGAAAGTTTCTGAAGCACTTAATCCAGAAAACAAAAAAATGTTATAGTGTGTAATAATCCGGCTTTTAAAAAGTTCATTTCGAGTTATAAGCACACTACATATTATAATTGCTTCGTTGTAGCGACATGAGAGGTTACTCATACGCCCTGAAGTATATTTCATTATCAAATAAAAAGTGACAAAAAAGCACTCGGAAATTTTAATTATATTTCTCGGGTAAATGATATTTCAAAAACATGTATTTTGCTAAGTTGGTATTGCCATCCTCAATTACAATGCCAAACATGAGCGGGATCTCTCAACCAGTATGTTTGTTCGAATAACGAATTTGCCTACAATTGTAACCAAATTTCATGTGCGGAATCGGTGCTAATATAAGAAAACTCAGACGGTAATTCAGTTTTTTCACAAGCCTACGCATAATACAAAGCCTTTAAAGACGATCGAGAGATCGTTGAAGACATGCCTCGTTATGGACGTCCTTCGACCTCTTCAACTGATGAAAATATTAAAAAAGTGAAGGATATGGTGCTTGAAAATTGTGACGAAAGTGAGCTAAATATCTCCGGCGAGTCCGTTAAAATGATTTTGGTGGATATTTTTAAATCTGAATTTTTCTCATAAATAGTACCGTCTCTCTTTGGAAATGCTTGGTCGTGCGAATTATGATTCCACATCTATGGAGAGCATTATAACTGTCGATGAGATATGGATTTATGAGTTTAACATACAAGCAAGTCAACAATCATCCGAATGGAGGAAAAAACGAGTCGAAACCAACAAAAAATACGCTAAAGCCGCTCAAAAATCAAGCTGATTCTTATAGTTTTTTTCGATATTCGTAGTTTGGTGCATCACGAATTTGGTCCAAAGAGACAAGCAGCCAGTTCTATTTGTCCTTGTTGAGGCGTTTGCCTGAGAACATTGGTCGAAAATGGCCGGAATTGTGAAAGAATAAGTCATCGATTATAAACGAAGATAATGCACCTTCATATTGAGCCACGATTGTGACCGAATTTAAAGCCAAAAAAGCAATGAATACCATCGATCAATCACCGTATTCACCAGATTTAGCTTCGTGTGAGTTTTTCTTTTTCCTCAAGCAGAAATTGTCGCTCCGTGGAACCCATTTTCAGTCGATCGAAGAGACAAAATTCCCTGAAAGAGCTGAAGGAAATCCCTAAAAGTGCTCTGAAATGTATTTCGTGGACTGAAAAAATCGTTGGCATAAGTATGTAACATCTGCTGGGGATTACTTTGTAGTCGACAAAGTCAATATTATATTTACAAATAGCTAATGTTTTGCGCTTTACTTACAATAACCGGGTACTTTTTTGTCATAATGTGTAGTTCTAGTTGCAATCGAGGAGCTTAACTCGATTTTGTTGCGTTGAGCAATTAATAAAAATCCAAAATCTGAAATATTTTATTCAAATTGTTGTCACAGATCGGTTGATTATTAAATCGAGCACCGTAATTCGAATATCTATAAAATTATAACAATATGCCACCGGTCTAAAGTTATACACAAGGAGATATATTTCCTAACTAAATCACACTGGGTCATTTATATCATAACCTTACTCTAAAAAGAAGAAAATAATTTAACTACCTGATTTTGCAATAAAAAATTCCGCAAAAATCAGTCATTTGGTATTTAATTTTAAAATATTAGATTTACATTTAAGAATTTAAACAAGAGCTGTGCATTAATATCTGAATGTTCATATATCACTAATTCATTTATAAATTGAAATGGAATATGTTAAATCAAAAGCAAGTCTCTCGCACCATGATTTCGCTCCTTATAACGCTTTTTGTGAAGGATAAGAGAAAAGTCAACCGAATAAATCACTTTCAACTTCCAAAAGTGGTATTTATGCATTGCTTGGAATTCGGAACTCTACATGCTACATATCATAACAGTAAACTAGCAAAACTATGATAAATTCGTAGTCTGGTAAACAATCTTCGTAGAATTACTTCTTTTTACAATGACTACTGTAAATATATAAATATCATATAAATAGCAAAACATACAAACATGCCACTTATAAATACCGCCATCAAGTAATTCGCTGTACAGTGTTCGATGTAATACCGCCTCAATTATTCATCGTTTATTAATTCTTGAATATTTCTGAATATGCCTATATGATTTGCAGACTATCGATACAAGCTTACCCCAAAA